ATCGACACAAATTACAAAGGCATGATTGACACATGAATATGGACTGAATATTGCTGAAAAACCAGAACTGCAAGTCCTTCCAGCTTCCTCTGCACACTTTGAATTGTTGCAGAAAACAATCCATACACTCACTCCCATGATATAACCCTGACCTTCGATGATCTGCAAATTTAAGGGACATACATAAGAGGCTGGAGAGTAGATTTTTTCGTTATCTCAAGCAGAAATATGGCCGTATTACCATTCAATGAAGTAAAACAAGTTCATATTGAATGTTCCCTAGAAACAAATAGTACTATGTGGTGAGTCAAAAAAAGCCAATGAAACGTTCATCTTTCAGTCACATCACAGCCCTGTTTTAGATTGTTCTGTCGAGGAAAAATTGGAATGGAACTTGTATTCCTACCAAGAAAAAGTGCAAAGCTACAAAAATAAAAAAATCCAAGCCAATTAACATCAAAACATCTTTCATAGATTGAACTTGGAACAAAGTAAATAAATTCTCATATTAACAGGAAAGTCTTTTAGAGCCTGATCTGAAGCTCATGAAGAAGTGTCAGCAGTGGAAAGAAACTGGAATTTTAGCTATTCACAGAGAGAGAGAGAGAGAGAGAGAGAGAAAAGCTGAGCAGTAGCAATACAAAATGATTCAACCTGAAGCTTCCATTGAGCTTCCCACTCTTTATCTTCGTGGTCCTTTGTCTACTTCTTTTTCTGATAAAGTAGCCTCCTGTTGGAGTATTCCCCATGAAGAAGATGTCCATATTCACATTATAATATAACGATTCAAATTGGGATTTTTTTCTTTTATCACTACAGACCTTAGACCTTAGACGTTGACATCATATTGTCTATACCTAACCACATTAAAGCACAAATCTTGCTATACAAATAAATTACTTAAAAACTATCATTAACTAGTGATAATAACCTGACAATTGTTGTTGTGTTAATGGTAGTACTAATGAAAATAACACTAAACTTTTCTTTACACCTAATTATATATGATTGCAATCAATGAAATCTTATCTTCGCTAATAACGACATCTATGGCAGCTTACAGTATAGATAGTGAGTTTAGAGTTGCTGCAGTATTTATGACGACATTGTCAGCAGGAGGCAGGTAAAACTATTCTGTGCCTCTTTCAAATAAAGTCCAACTGCATTGTCTTTTACAGACAAGATTATATAGGGAGCAGCAATAATGCTAACTTTGAGGCCAACGAAAATGGAGTCCCACAAAATTTAGCAAATCTCATCCAGTTTAGCGTGATCATTAAATACAGTAGTCAATGTAGACCCATCTCTACAACCAATCCCTCCTAAGTGAAAATGATGCCTAGAAGCTGTTCCACATGATTCATGAACTGATAAAGATGGGTAATTTTATTAGGTGGCAAACATCCCATCCTTGTTTGATTATATTTTATATAACAATCATTGGTTACTGAAGACTTAATTGAATAATTTGAAAGTTAAACATATAGGGTCGCTGATGGATGAATTGCAAAATTATTTTATGGTACAATTGGCAATAAGATCTGTCGAGTTTACAACAAAATTTTTATAAATAGTAAGTTATGAATACAAGTATCACTATCATCTAACAATTTGGAATGTTCAAAAATCTCTGCTGACTGCTGCCAGCCTTAACCCTCTTAAGGTTTGTGCCCTCTAGCGAGTCCAGGTAAA